TGACTTTCCGATATATTTTTACCCATGCTAGGATACCATAACAGATTTAATGTGCGTTCTCAAATCATCCATTTGGCAACTCTATATTAAATGTTTTTTCCATATAAATTATAATCTATTTAGACATAGTTGAGAATCACTCTTTTAACTCACTATACATTCTATAATAATGCCGCGGTAATCTGTCTCCATTTTAAGTAAGATTTTATACGCTAATTAATGTCATTCACAGAGCGACATTCCTTTAGGTACAGTTATATAAGGAGTCGACCAGCTGGTTTTTTATTAATGGTATATATAGAACTGACTACTGCAAACTCTCCTATTTGAAAAATTTTCATTCAAAATCTCTTGAAATAAAATTTAGAATATTTAAATCTGCCTGACTAGTACTGGGAATTAGAGAATATAAATATTTGTGGCGCAGATCCCCGCTAGAAAATTACCAGAACAAATAACGGGAAGAGGTTAGGAAACTTTACTTAGATTAATGGATAAGCTTGAAGATCTCAAATTTTTTAAAGCTTGCTGAAAATCCAGCAAAGCTTACAGATGAAGCCATTGAAATTAATATTTACCGAATCGCCTGATTGGATCTTTACGCCAAATATAAATTAAGAATTGAACAAATTTGCACTTCATCATACATTGAACTTTATTTTCGAAAAACAAGTTTAAGGAAATGAACCGGTTCGAGTCGCTCACTCTTCAAATTCTGATGCTATGCAATACTATTTGAAAGTATATCAAAGCTCCTAACTGCAAAGCACACATAAGGGCATAGTTTAACGATAGTATGCCCAAATGGGTCACGTGAACAATAGGGTAATATATTGAGATATATGGAAGACCAAAATGTTGTTTAGTGCATTTTTTAGACGTGTGACGATAACAGCTGGCATTTTTTGCCTCCTAATAGTATTTTATCAGGCATATCAGTGCGTTTGACATCTCGAAGAGCATTAGACTCCGGCCTAAGAGTCGCCTCTGCATCTGTGTCTCTGGAGAGAAGACGGCGGATCTCGGAATCTAGATCAGCGATTACTGCATCCTCTAAGTCATACACGCCAGTGCGAAGAAGGCTATCGCGCTCTTCGATAAGCCTAGTTAGCCAAGTCTCCTGGTCGGCTGTTAAACCATTTGGAGGAACTAGGCGAGTCTGATGGTCTCGAGAGCTTTCTGAGGCTGATCTAAGCTCTTGGCTAGCAGTAGGATGTTCAGTGCGTAGGCTAAAGGAAAAAATCAGCAAGGAATAAGAGGAATAAGAAAGACAAAAAATTGTAACGTTTATTAATATTAGCTTTGATGGGTGCCATACAACCGTTTTTAATCTTCAATCGTGCATGCGCGCACCAAAATTTTTAGGTTCTGATATTCAGCGAGGTGCTGGTTGGGAAGGAAAGTGTCTAAATGTTACGACTAGTCTAGATGTAGAGGCTCATCCAACAACCATTAAGATGAGTTCCTATTTTGCATGAAGTAATCGGCATATACTTGATGGACAATCTAGTAAGAGTGTAAGGCTTACGAAATCATATATGTTTTGGCTTGATAAGCTAAAGTATAAAAGTAAGCTATACAGTAAATATACCATTGAAAGTAGTCTAACCTCTCTAGTTCTTTGCGAATCTTGGCTAATTCAACCTGCGCAACTAGTCGAGACTCATCTTGTCCTGTCAAGTTGTCAAGCTGGGAGCGCAATCTGGAAAGCTCCGCCTCTCGCTGCTCCAGACCCCGACGTGCCTCCGCCTCCGCAGATCGGCGTTGTGCCGCCAGCTCCTGAAGGGCACGCATCCATAACCTACGGTAGCGCAACCTACCAGAGTTAGCTTCGGCTAGTCGATGCTCTGTATT